TCACTTCCTCACTTAATGGCACTTAGTTATTTGTATTTCTTTTCTTGCTACCTCCCTAGATGTAAACTCCTGAGGTTAGAGGTTTTTGCCTGGCAAACAGTAGATGCTCATTGAACATTTTTTGAATGAGTGAGGAATTAACAGAGGGTATCGAACAAGCTTTTGCTGGGGTATAACAACAGCCCAGTCTAGCAGGCTTCAGGCTCTCTTAGGACCTCCATCCTGACCTTCCCAGGGTCAAGGCTAACCTCTGTGTTGAGGGAACCATAGTAAGGGGTGGGGGGCGGGGGTGGGAAAAGAGTCGCTCCAAAAAAACTCAGGCCTCATCCTGGTCTCCCTAGGGGTTTCCAGGCCTGAGAACCAGGCCCTGGAAGGGACCAAATAGTGCAACACAGGCAGCCTTCTGAGAAGACAGTGGCCAGTGGAGGGGACCCTTGCTCCCAGGCTTGATGAGACAGCCCCCAGTGCTTTTAGGAGCCACCCAGCCTGCACCCGTGGGATCCCAGGTCTCAGCCCAGTGTCATCAAGGGTCCAGGACTGAGTGCCAGCCCTGGAGGGAGGGTTCATTGATGGCCTCTTTCTCCTACTGACTCCGTGACACTTGTCAAGAGGCCAAGCTTTCGAGGTGACAGGTGTGGTCCAGATCGTGGAGGCCAGAAAGCCCAGTCTGGGCCTAGTTGGACAGGATAATGGCCCCCCAAAATTGCCCACATCCTAACCCCCACAACCTGTGAATATGTTCCCTTACGTGGCAAAGGGGAATCAAGGTTGTAGATGGAATTAAAGTTGTGAATCAGCTGACCCAGAGACGGTGGAGGATCCTGGCTTATCCAGGTGGGCCCAGTGTAATCGCAAAGGTCCTAATAAGTGGAAGAGGGGCCAGAAGAGTCGGAGAAATATTTGAAGATACTACACTGCTGGCTTTGGAGAGGGAAGAAGGGACTGCAAGCCAAGGAATGCAGGCGGCCTCTGGAAGCTGGAAAATATAAGAGAACAGATTCTCTTCTAGAGCTGCCAGAAGAAACACAGCCTTTCAGACTTCTGACCCCCCCCCCCCGACACTACAAGATAATAAATTCCA